CTGTGCAAATCTCTGCTCTCTTCAGCATTCCAGAAGTGCTGACATTGGCCAAGCAGTTCATATCCTTGACGATATTAGCTGGATCATTAGGAAAAAGAAACAAAGTGGGAGGTGGGTGTTGTCCTTCAAGTGAAGAAAGTTGTAGGATTGATGTAACGCTCGACCTCTATGGAGGGCTCTGACGGAGTCTCCTGCGTGCAGAGGCAACGGAGCTTCAGCACCAGCGCTCCTTCCAGCAGCATCCCTGCAATGCTGAAGATCCAAAGGTGGGAACACATCCAGCACTTGGGCAGCAGCCTCAAGTCTCAGGTCCTTGACTAGGCTTTTTGCTGTTGTTCTTTAATCGCTGCTGAAAATACACACGTGTGTTGTGCAAGAGAGGCACCAAGCTCTCTTCACTCTGCCTTAGGAGTCTGTGCATTTTCCTGGCATGGCACTTGATGGAAAGGGAAATCCGTAGTCCTAATGTTTATATCAGACTTTTTCTGAAGCTAGGAAAGAATGGGAACAACCTCCATTTTTCAGCCAGACACCAAACTACCACCTTTATGTTCTGATAATCAGTAAATTTGATACTGAAAAAATACCATTAGCTGCTCTGTGCCAAAACCCCCATGCAAACCCAACCTCAGCCAGCTTCTGCGGTGCTATTCCAGCATGTGCAGAGTGCAAACCATGGAGCAAGGGCCTGCAGAGGATCCCTGCAGTGCAGGCTCAGTCTTACCAACTAGAGTTGGATGAGAACATTAAAGCCAGCTGGACATTCATGGCGACTGGCCTTAAAGCTGTTCTGGAGTGGACACAAGGGCCTGGCGGCAGAACGAGTGTCGGTGCATCGTGACGGCCCCGTTGAGCTGCTGGAGCTGCAAACCTTTACTGAGCACGAGACTGGTGGTTACAAGTATCTGATCTTTTCGGTGGTGACTGGAAGGAAAAAAATCAGGGTGTTTGAAACACCTGAATTTGAAAAAGCAGGTTTTGTTTGCTTGAAACAACTTGAGCTCCTCCTACAACATCTACTGTACTTTACCTAATGAAAGACACTTTGCTACCCACAGCAACTGGAACAGATTTAGTTTTTTCATCCCTTGCTGCTGTTAAGGATTTATTTTTCACCAACAGCCAGGTAAAGCATCAGTGTTACTGTAGCCACACACATTCATCAGAGCACAGGAGTTATCACAGAGCGTGTAATTACAATTACTAAACGTGATGTACAGCAAAGGGTGTCGTATGCGAGCAAAACAAACACAGGATCTTGGAAACATTTTTAAGTTCAACTGCAAAACATCACCTGGAGTTGAAGTTCCTGACCTTGGCTGGATGATTCTTGCCACTTTTTTAACCAGAACACACCACACACAATTTCTCTTAATGCTCCTAAACTCTTAAAGTTTTTGAATGAAACTTTGACATATATGAAAAATATGATTTTTTTTTAGATAAATATTAAATTTGCATTCATGTGTTGCCACTATTGCATTTTCTAGATATTGATCCATTTACAAAGTAAATTGAAGTTTTCTAGAAAGCTGCAGGAACACTATCTTATCAAGATAACACATTAATGTGTGTTATATGTCATATTGTGCATATCTTATTAAAGGTTTATCAAAATGAAGTGTGTTTTTCTCACTGCAAACTTGATCCAAGTCATTTCATTTTAGCTTTAAGAGTTTTAAACTTCAGCTCTTCTGATTGGATCCCATTCATTTTGATTCTTTATTGCTAAAACCTGCTTTTTAAGCCATTCACACTAGAATACCACCCTTCATTAAAATAAGTTATGTGTTTTAGATAAATGTTGTATGTTGTATTTTAGAAACACGAAAACTTTATGGACATTATTATTTAGAAAGTTGCCTGTAGATCAAAATAATCCATATCGAAAGGTTTACGGAAAATGTTATCACTTACGTATATACCACAGTCATTGTGGTACAGAAATAAAGAACAAATGCTGCTATGGACAAATTAATTCCATCTGAGAATCATTTACACAGAAACAAAGATTCCAGTCCCAAATAGGTAACCTGCAGAAAAGTTTGTCAAGGGATTCCCTAGTTTAGGGCATCAACTTTTAGATCATTCACACAGCAAGAGTTAAGATACTCTGCCTAAATACTATAGGAAGTTAAAAGAGCACCTTTCTTCTCTTGATTGTAAATATTTTCACAAGTGTTTTTACATACATTCCACTTACGTATTTAGAAATAAAACACTAAAAAAAGTGTTGAACTAGAAGCCTAGTTCCTGAAGTAATACCTCAGATCACATTTATCTAATTCAGTATTAATCTTATTCAATATAAAGAATGTTTTTGCTATGTAACAATAATGAGACAGTACAGTTGTATTTTTGTGATTGCAGTGCAGAGGTGCATGACTCTTCACATTAAAAAACATTCATTTTATGACTGTTTGCTTTTAACAGGGATCTGTGTGGTGTTTTCTCAAACTACATACACAGTTATCCTGTTTCTGGGGGGATCTGATATGCAACACACCTTGGGAATCTTTAAATACTAGCAAGCTCAGCAAGTAGTCACTGCAACTCTTATCCATGATAAGAATACCTGTGGGAAGGGTGAAGAGGAAAAAGAGGAAAAAAAAATCATCTGCACTTCAAAGATTCACTTCAGATGAAGCAGATATAAAATCCACATAGATTATTGTGGAAGCTGTAGGTGAAATTAAAAGTTGCATCTCCAATATATGCATTTGCCTGAAGTAATCTCCAGGTTTACACGCTCCAGCACGGACACAGCTCAAAAGATATATCTGCCTTTTTTTTTTTCCCCTCCTCTCTCTTCCCTTTCGTCTCATTGTGGTGGGACTTTAAATGAAGCTCTGTTAATACTCAAATCACTTTTATAATCCAGAGAATTAAGTGTCCAGCATGTAGCAATCTTGATTATATCCCACTCAGGATGTGGGAAAGACACTATTAAAAACAAAACAATCAATTCACTTAGCCAGTCCCACAAACATGCTTTATGGGCTTGGCCTCCTACTCCTTTTAAGTGAGGTTTTATAGTGACACACTGGTGAAGATTAGTACACAACTGCAGGCAGATGCCCATGACTGATTCAATTGTTTGCACTGACATTCACAATTGCTTTAATTGCAACTGATGTGATAGAAGCTATTGCAGGAAAAAAAAAGAGCAAAATCAATGTTGTTCCTCAGAGATTTTATTATTTTAAACACAGAAGTGCACAATCCACTGATTCTCCTTGCTATAACTTCGTCACAGTAGTCCATTTTGTTGCGTATGCAGTACCTTCCTCATTGATTCAACATGCAGATCCAGGAGGTCTGCTTACAAACAGAACTCGCACAGTAAGGAGATAATACATTCCAGCCTCATTGTTTATAAAAAAAAGAATAATTTAAGAAGTGATTAAAAGCTAAAGCAGCAAATCATCTTTAGAAAATCAGTGAGCCCTTAAAATTGCATTAGTTCTAGCGGTTCTGTATGCTCGATACATACAGCCATAACTGTTTAACATCATCAAGCTGGATTCAAAGCTGGTGTTTTTGAAGTTGAAGGGCCATCATCTACAGCCTATAGAGAAAGAGAAAATGTTTGGTTTAGACCTGAGCAGTATCCAAAGCCTTCCCAAGAAGAGCTGAGCTTGGAGCCTGTCAAGCAAGTTCTGCTGAAGTCCTGAAGTCTTCCTTCAGCCTGCCTACACGCTGCTCATGGCTCCGTTCAGAGGAATTGAGAGTGATCCATGTAGGAGCTGAAGGTTTAACATATTCCCTCTTCCCATATTTTACAATAAGGCAAAAACGCCTGTTTCTGTCTTATGTACGACCAACATTTAGATCAGCACAGAATGCCTGAAAAGAAATGCTATTGTTTCAGCTAGAAATCCCAACCTCAAGTTCAAGATTTCACTTATATTGATCCAATGGGCCTTGCGAGATGCAAGGATGCAGCAGAACAGTTAGTTGCTTTTATTTATTTATTTTGTTAATAAAAAACATCATCCACCCCCAGTGTTTTTAAACAGAGGATACATTAGGCTTTTTTACTGGTGAAGAAATAGCAAAACCAAGAGTGCACTGCGTGAGGAGCACTCCAAAAAGGCAGGCAAGTGTTTCAAATGTCTACAGCTATAGCAAAGCACTGGAGAAGGCCAGATGCCCAAACAACTTTACAGCAGAGGAATCTGTCAGATCTGCTGCTTTGACCATCAGATTTGCACCCATCTCATCGCACCATCCAGGGGAATGCACGTGGCACACTGGTGCTCCAGAAGGGATTCCCGCTGCGAGCCCGTGCCTGGAGCGCAGCCAGGTGACCGCGTGGGGTGAGGCAGGACAGCAGCCAGGAGATGGCACCGTCCTCGCCCGGGCAGCGCCCTGCGCGAGGGAGGCCCCCGGTCTGCTGCGGAGCCGCAGCTGATCTGGGTCTGCTAAGGGGCTGCCTCGCGTCCTCGGCGGTGCTCGACTACCCTGCCAGAAGACGGTATCATGTCAAGAGCTCAGTGAAAATGCGAGGGGAGCGCACGTGGAAACGGCCTAGGTGCCACAGCAGGGCCTGCTGTGTGCAAGGCGGCCAGGATCCCCTGTTGCGCAGCTGGGGGGAGGGAGGCTCCTTTGTCCCTAAAAAATACAGCTACAAGGTCCCCGAATAAAGGCATTTCTTTTCCAAAGAGGACAAAACAGAGGCCAACAGAACAAGTCATCATGGCCCCAGTATTTTGACTTTAATAGCATTTAGTCAAGTTCAGAACCGGAGTGTAGAATGCACCATACAATGCACATCCAGCAGTTATACTGCAGCAGAAAAAAAAGCAGGAGGAGGAATGAAGATTCTACAAAGAAAGATCCAAGTACTCAGGATCACATGGGAAACTAAGGCAGAGATGGCGGCTGAGCTCAGATGCCCTAGGTACTGCTGAGGGCTTGAATACAAAATCCCCCTCCATGTTGATCCATAGTTTTCAGAATCCCAGTACTTTAAAGCTTGGATCTTACCTTCTTTACTGCTAATGTCTAAAGAAGTCAAGAACCTTCGTATGCCCTGTAGCCTTTGCCTGTAAGGAAAAACATGAATAAATCCTGCCATCCTGTGCACCAGGACATGCAAATACTCACTTGTGGGAAGTAAGAATATGCTACCACAAAATAATTAAAATCCAATTTAAATTTTAATTCCTCTGACATAGATGAGAAAATTCAGGTTCCAATGATTTATTACTTCAGAACAGTACCAGACTTGACTCTGAAATGCACTTTAAACTGGTTTATGGCCCCCAACCCAAGACCTGGCCTCCCAAACTGATGCTGCCCAGCAGCAGCCTCATGGCACACGCCAGAAGCCTGCAGGGAGGAGCGGAGCAGAGCGCACACTTACTACTTGGAGGGCATTCTTGCCATCATAGCCAGCTTGCTGCAGGTCTGCCCCGGCTTGGTACCAGGCATACAGCCCCTCCACATCACCTTTAGCGGCAAGGCTGGAAAAAAAGAACAGTGGCTTTGGCTCTATCCTAATCTTTAAGGCTGTTTCATGGTACTGCTGCATCTTGGCGGGCTAGATCAGCAGCTCGGGCAAATGCAGGACCAGAACTGGCCCGACGTGGCTACCGGGACAGGCAGGCAGCCCGGGGAACACTGTTACAACAGCTTGGAATAGCTGAGCCAGCAGCACAGCGCGATGAATCAGTTCCTTAAATTAATAGGGCTGTGCTATAAGTACTTACAACAGGCAAGTTTCGCACAGTGGGTGTGACTGTGACCAAAGGGGAAAAAAAAGTCATGCAGTTTCATATTTCACAACACAATATTTATCTCATGAAATGAGTTGGGGGGAGGACGGTAGCTAAGTCAAGGTGCAGCTGGATCAGTGGGAGCCTGAGTAGATGGGCGAGCAATCGCTGTGCATATTTTAAATTGACCAAAGTGAAAAAACAAAAGCTTTAACGGGTTTGCAGAACTATGTTCACTATCAGCAGTTGTGGTAATACATTGCATGGTATTATATGGATAGTTAGCTACTTTTTTTGAATTCTGTAAGGTAATTTGTATGACTTAAATGGACAGCAAGACCAAAAAAGCCTTATTAAAACCTGTGTATGTCTACTATATAACAAATAATAGAAAGGATCAAATCAAACATACCCAAATAAAGGCCTTAAAGTTTATAGAGAAAGGCACACCAGAATGCTTCTTTGCACATCTGCTGGCAGCTTCAGCCTTAGTCCTTAGGGCTCGTGTTGCTTTTTGTGGGGTTGGAGAAGGGCTAACAGCGTGCACATAAGCTGAAGCCGGCCTGCACCAGGCCTGCAGACCCCGAGCAGGGCCTACAGACCGAGCCTGCACAGCGGCAGGGACGGCTTCCCGCCTTGGCAGGTGAACCAGCCTTCAGAACTGGCTGCCTCTGCTCGCTGTGTGCTTGTCGACTGTGCAGCACAACTACCCTGATAAAAATCTAGTGAGGCTGGAGCTCACTGCGAGAGGAAATCCCCTCCAGAAGTACAGTTTGGAGCCTGGGAAGGAGCGCCCTTCTGCTGCCAGCCAGGACGGAGGATGGTGAAAGGCCCCTGCAGCTGAGAAATGAGCTAAGAGCTGCTGGCGGGTGGAAAAGGCAGGCGGAGGTGTGGAGCCCACGGCTTGCGGAGGAAGTCCTGGCAGCAAGTGCGCAATTTTCATTTCTCTGCCAGGCTGAAATCACTTCTGCTGTTGATTACACAGAATCACAGAATGCTTAAGGTTGGAAGGGACCCCTGCTCCAGCAGGGACACCCAGAGCACATGGCACAGGGTGGCATCCAGGGTTGGGAAGATCTCCAGAGAAGGAGACTCCACAACCTCTCTGGGCAGCCTGTGCCAGGGCACTGTCACCCTCACAGCAAAGAAGTTCTTCCTCATATGGAGATGGAGCTTCCTGTGTTTCAAATTACACCTGTTACCGCCAAGTCACCTATTTGTCTATTGGTGACTTGGTTCTGCAGGAAGATATCACCAATTACTGCAATAAGAAGAGATTCTGACATTTAACAGACTACTGATATTAAGATTTTTCAGTTCAAAATAAAGCCATGAACCAAATGCCTACAACGTGATTCTAAAAACACAGATGAACACCTCCCAATTCCAAAAACACAGCAAGTGATGCAGCCAGGATCCCACTGGCCTTCTTAGCCACGAGGGCACCTTGCTGCCTCATGGTTAACCTGTTGTCAACCAGGAAATTACATCTCTTATGTACACCAAAAAATGTTTTCAGGGAAGTAGAGGCGTCTAATAGCAGCAGTCGGAGAGGCTTTTGCTCATAGCAGTGCTAGAGGCCGGGCAGGAGATGGGAGAGAAAACAGTATCCGTATCCCCCTGTACGACTCCACAAACCATGAGGCTGCAGAAGACCAGGAGCTGGGGCCGCTGGGGCAGGGAGATGGGTGGTGAGAGTGAGGTTTAGTGGTGAAACAGTTTGACATTGTGAAAGGAAGAATCACAAATCATTAATGAAAACTGCCCTAGCAAGGAAGGGCTCTGGGAAGTGATAAACAGAGTAAAGAA